CAGTTAGTCTTTCATCTCTACTGGTCTCTTACTTGAAAGAAAAGAAGTATCTACCAGATGATCCATTCAAAACCTAGGTAAGACTATATAGTGGCGGGAGCAGTAGCAGGAGGACTTTTTAATGCATTTGCATTTGCAGGTGCAGGATACCTATTTAAAATGTTTGACAAGAATGGATATGCTAAGGAACTCATAGACATAACATTGCAATGGAGAACCTAACAGCTGAAAGAGAGAAGTACCTTGAAGAAGTCACTGATAGAAGAAATAGAATTGCCCGACTTAAGTCAGAACTAGCTGAGGCAAACAAGGATATTAATTCAACAAACCAGTCACTAGAACTCGTTAGAAGAATCAATGAGTTAACACATAAGCCCATGCCAAGAATGCCACAATTAAGTAATCACTATAAACCTAGCTCTGAAATGGAAGAATATATGACAATCTTTGGTTTAATTACAGGTGGGGTGGTTGGAGGGGCAGCTTATTTAATGCTATAAAAAATTTTCACATATATAGTATAGGGAAATGGAATGGTTACAGATGGCAACACCTGAGGAGATAGCACATGTAGGTAAAAGGGTAAATACAATGGAAGAGTTAGAGGCTGCTGTGAGGAAGCACGCAGAGAGTAGAATAAAGAGAGAACATATATATGATCCAGTATGTAGCGAATGTGGGAGCAAGTCTATTGTAATGATAGATGGGGCAGATACATGCACACAGTGTGGTACTAGTGATATGAATAACTTCACATACTACGTTAGTTACAACCACAACAAGGATGACTACCTGAAAAAGAAGTCTTGTCATAATAGAGTCCGTTGGTTTGAGAGACACTTGTTCGAACATGTTGCTTCTAGGGATAGGGATATAATAAGGGAGCAGTTTAGAAGCATCGTAAGATGTATACAAAGACTTAGACTGCAAAGGGGGCGCAATATAGTTAGATACAAGTTTTACCTGCTGAGGATAGCCAGCATGAATGGTATCACCTTAAGAAACCCTCCTGAGGATATTAAGACTCAAAGGATAATGGACATCCTTGAGGACAGATAGTATGGGAAAGTTTTTGTTGAGCTTGGATGGAAACCTGAGAAGTGTAAATATTATGATAACTGGAAAAGTAAAAACACTTAAAGAAATACTAATATAATAAATTAAATAAAATACTTAAAGAAATATTAATACAATAAACTAAATAAAATACCTAAAGAAATATCAATATAATAAATTAAATAAAAGACTTAAAGAAATATTAATATAATAAATTAAATAAAAGACTTAAAGAAATATTAATATAATAAATTAAATAAAAGACTTAAAGAAATATTAATATAATAAATTAATCTAAAGAATAAATTAAAAATAAATTCTAAATAAATTAACAATTAAATAGCCAAATTTATTTTTACATATATAGTATAGAGGAACAGTTGAAAAATATGGCGAGTTATTTTGACATGAACGAATTCAGCGTAGAACAGCTTATGGCTCTCAATAGTATCATAGACAGTGATAACGAGATTGACGAAAGAGTAGAGAACATCATGGAGGACAAAACCTACAGGATTGCACCTAGTGATAAGGGCAAAGATCCCCTTGAAGGAGAAAGACAATTCGTAGATGAAGTTGACCGTGATATGGAGGTAAAGAAACCAAGACGTCTTCCTTTGAACTATAAGGGTAGAAGAGGAATTATGCCAACATGGAAGTACTCCGAAAGACAAAAGGCTAAGGCCTTACTTGTAGAGGAGGCATACCAAAGTCTACTAGCAAGGGGAGTTAAGGGGTTACCACCAACAATGGGAGGTAGATGGCGCACAGATGATCCCCAGGTGAATGCGGAAATTAGGAGAATCGAAAATGAGAGGAATCGTAAGCGTCCCAGAGGTAGACCACCAAAGCCTAAGGTTGATGGCGAAGTTAAGGTTCCTAAAAGGAGAGGTAGACCACCAAAGTCTAAGGTTGATGGTGAAGTTAAGGTTCCTAAAAGGAGAGGTAGACCACCAAAGCCTAAGGTTGATGTTATACAACAAAAGCCTAAGGTTAGAAGGCAAACTGTCGCGGAAAGATTCCTGAGTCAAAATAGGATAAAACTCTCGGTGCCTGCAAACAGTATTATAACTCCAACAGGTCCAGGTAAGTTCACGATCAGTGTAGATCTTAATAAGAAACCCACAAGGAAAGCTCCTGAAGTGCCTAAGGGTGTAGCTCCATGGAGACCAACACCTAAACCCAGAACTAGACTTCCTCCTAGGGAAAGACCTGTATCGAAACCCAGAACGGTACTTCCCAAGGAAAGACCTGTACCGAAACCAAGGACTACAAAACCAGTGTCTCCTCCTAAGGTCCGTAAGCCTGTAAAGGTGTCAAGAGAAGTCAAGGAGCAGCCTATAGTGGTTACACCAGAGAAACACGAAATAGACCCATTTGGAACTTACCTTGAAAAGCCATTCCACAGAAAAATTGAAACAGCCGCAAATGGAGCTGCTGTAACTTACTCAATAACTCCTCATTATATGGACCCCCTGAATCAGTTAACTGCAAGTAGACAGGTAGTGAGAGGAATACTTGTGAACGAATTGAAGAGAATGGGAGGGTTGAAGTACACAGAGACAATAAAGGTGAGAATGTCGAAGGAGATAGGTAACGGTAAAACAAAGAAGGACTCAATCTACTTCAAGTCTAAAACTGCCACTGCAACTAACTTCGAGGATATTGAAAGTACAGCTGCTCAAAACCAACTAACAATTTTGTCTAGAATTGAAACCTTTCAAAACTTAGGTTCAAATTGGATTATTCTCAATATTGAGAGCCATTACGTGAACATTGCAATGTATAAACCTCTAAAGGGTAGTTCATATATGAAACTTCCTGGGGACATTAGTAATCCAAAGTGTGGGCTAATCAATATGAAGAACAACGACAATATGTGTTTCCTGTGGAGTCATGTGAGACATCTAAGACCTAAAGCTAGAAGAGCAACTACTATTACACGGAAGGATAGGGAGTTTGTAGACAACCTGGATTATAGCGGTATAGACTTCCCTGTGAAGATAAGTGATATTGATAAAATTGAGAGGAAAAACAGTATAAACATATCAGTGTTCGGTTATAAGGGTAAAAAGCAGTTCTATCCTATAAGAAACTCAAAGGCTAAATACAATGAGCATATGGAGCTTCTACTGCTAGGTGACGGAATGCTTTTCAGCGAAAGTGGATACACACACAAGAAACACTTTTGTTTACACTGTCTTCATAGTTGTGTAAGTAAAGAGGTACTGGAAAAACATAAGGAGACATGTCTGGAGGTAAATGGAACTCAGGCTGTAAAGCTTCCCAAGGAAGGTACAAAAATAAAGTTCAAAAATCACAGGAAATCGATGCCTGTGCCGTTCGTGATATACGCTGATTTTGAGTCAATACTGGTACCAGAGGAGAGAAAAGTGGAGTCAGAAAACCCTGAGGACAAAAGTAGTACAGACCTTTACCAGACACACAAGGCTTGTAGTTTCGGGTTAAAGACTGTCTGCCATTATGATGATAAGTACTCTGGTGAGTATAAGAGTTACGTTGGAGAGGATGCTGCACTGGTCTTCCTAAAGACTGTATTAATAGAGTCTTTAAGATGTAGAGAAATGGTTAACAATATATTCAATAAAAAGATGGTAATTACACCTGAAGAAGAAGCTGAGTTCTGGAAGGCAAGAAACTGTTCAATATGTGGTAACGATCTTGGTGAGGATAGAGTAAGGGACCATGATCATGTAACAGGAATGTACCGTGGAGCTGCTCATAATATATGCAACCTAAAATACAGAATTACATGGAAAGTACCTGTAGTCTTCCACAATCTGAGAGGTTATGACAGTCATCTAATTATGCAGGAAATTGGTAAGTTCAAGATGAACATTAACGTGATCCCAAATAATATGGAAAAATACATTTCATTCTCACTGGGTAAAAATCTTGTCTTCATAGACTCTATACAGTTTATGGCTTCTTCACTAGAAGCACTGGTGAGTAACCTTTCACCTGAGGACTTTAAAATAGTAGGTAAGAGGTGGAAGGGTGAGGACTTCAATTTAGTAACACAAAAAGCAGTCTTTCCATATGAATTTCTGGATGATATTAGTAAACTTAATACAGAGGGTCTTCCTAGTAGAGATAAGTTTTACTCATCACTGTATGAGTCAGAGGTGAAGGAAGAAGATTACCAAAGAGCTAGGAAAGTATGGGATCACTTTGGGATTAAAACCATGAGAGACTACCACGATCTTTACCTAGAGACTGACGTTCTTTTGTTAGCCGATGTATTTGAAAACTTCAGGAGAACATGTCTGGAAAATTACAAACTTGACCCTGCAAATTACATGTCAGCACCTAGTCTAAGTTGGGACGCCTTCTTGAAACAGTCAGGTGAGGAAATAGAACTTGTAAGTGATATGGACATGTTTCAGTTCTTCGAGAAGGGAATGAGAGGCGGTATAAGTCATATTGCTCATAGACACTCAACAGCTAATAATAAGTACATGGAGACGTATGATGAGTCGTCTGAAAACAAGTACCTTATGTACCTCGACGCTAACAATTTATATGGCTGGGCGATGTCACAACCACTACCTAATGGAGAGTTCGAGTGGGTCGAGGAAGTTGATGGTATGAATCTAGATGATTACCTAGGAGACAACGAAAGAGGGATGGTTTTAGAGGTTGACATGGAATATCCACAAGAACTTCACGACCTACATAACGGTTATCCTCTAGCACCAGAGAGTAAGGAAATCAGTGCTTCTATGTTGTCAGATTATGCAAAGAGTATTGCTGAGAAATTCCAGCTGACAATTGGAGGAGTAAGAAAACTGGTAAACTCACTAGGACCCAGAAAGAACTACGTCTTACATGTACGTAATCTGAAACTCTACACAGACCTTGGAATGAAACTCACGAATGTTCATAGAGCGGTTACATTCAAGCAATCTCCCTGGCTTAAGAACTATATTGACTTCAATACAAAGAAAAGGTCAGTAGCTCGTAACACGTGCGAAAAGAACTTCTTCAAGCTAATGAATAATTCAATCTATGGAAAAACAATGGAAAATCTTAGGAAAAGAGTTGATGTAAAATTAGTGTCCTCAAAAGACGACCTCCTAAAACTGACAGCATCACCCTGCTTCCAGTCACATCGAATTATGAATGAGAACCTTATAGTTGTAAAAAGAATGAAGGAAGTTCTAACGCTAAATAAACCGTGCTATGTAGGAATGAGCATCTTAGACTTATCCAAGACTTTAATGTATGATTTCCACTACAACACAATCAAGAAGGAATACGGTAACAGGTCAAGGTTACTGTTCACTGATACTGACAGCTTGATGTATGAAATAAAGACGGATGATGTCTACGAGGACTTCAAGAGGATCGGTAAAGAGCAAGACTGTTGGGATAATTCAGATTACCCAAAAGATTCTCCATATTACTCAACTCATAACAAGAAGGTCATAGGTAAGTTTAAGGACGAAGCTGAAGGAGTACCCATAATTGAGTTTGTTCGGTTAAGGTCTAAGATGTACTCATATGTGAAGGAAAACGGTGGAGGTGGAATGACCGCTAAAGGAGTCAAAAAGTATGTCATTAGAAATAAGCTCACTCACGAGAACTTCAAGAATGTAATTAGTACGAAAGGTAGGATGAGACATAATATGAATACAATCAGGAGCATCAAGCATACAATTGGAACTTACGAAATGAGGAAGGTCACTCTAAGTTGCTTTGATGATAAAGGTATATCTTGGAAGATGGAGTTACCAGTTATGCTTACGGACACTACCTAACAATTGAAGGAGGCCGTGAAAGTAGAGGTTGAAAGAAAAGTCGAACCTGTAAGTGAACTGATAAATGTGGGAAGACTACCAGAAGAATATACCCAAGAGGAAGCAAATCACATGATAATGGAAAGGGTAAGAAATAAGTGTAGAAAACTGTGCCCCCTTCGAAGGACGCTAGTGGAACTTCTATGGACTAGGAACAATGAGGAGATATTACCACGGGAAGCTGGAGATCGCATAAAAGCTCTAGTAAACATGGCAATGGTATATGGAAGGTAGTTGTTCCAGCGTTGATTGAAAAGCTTTAATGGAAGGGTGTGTGTACCCTCAGGAGTGAAATAAAAGATGTTGAATAGGCTTTGGAATAGAGGAATTGAATGAGATTGGTGGAGTTGAAATTTGAAGATTTGAAGATTCGTTTTAATTTTGTTAGAAAATCTAGCGCCCAAAAAACCAGTATGGTCTAGAAAATAAAATTATGATTAAAAAATTCAGATTGAGCCAGACGGATTTCGGTTCACGGAAAAATGGTCGGAAATCTGATCATGCTCATTAGCATAAAAAATGGTCTAGACACGCTAGTTCCTATACTACTCACCTGAAAATTTTTTCACGGAAATGTTAGCAACCGTAGGGGGGGGGGAGAGGGAAAATAATTGCAATCATATAAAATGCAATCTGAACAACATTTTTCATGAAGGCAAAGGGCGCTTGCCACCGGAGAGAGGGCACTTTTTGTGTTTTCTGAAAACTCCCCCCCGGTTCCTACGCCCCTGGTGTGGTTGTTCTCACAGGATTTTCTGAAAAATTCAAAAAATTGGGTTTCAGTGATATATGGGGCGGGAAGAATAACATCCTAAATAGCACACCAAAAAAGTGAATTGAAAGGCCAAAGTGGTTCTATATTTTAAGGGATTATGTTTATGAAGGTAAATGTCAAGGGGGTTCAAATACTAAATGGAGCATAACTAGCATGTTTACAAAGATGTATTTCTCTTTCGCATAAACACTTCGGTCACAGTACGTATATGTAACCTTTACAAATTAGATTTCAATTGACTTTTAAAATCTATATGAGAATGGTTAACAATATTTTCTCCTTTATATACTTTTTAATAGGTTTTGCCAGGACTACAAGTACAACAGCAAAAATCTCTTCCAAATATTGAGCCAGATGAACTGGAAAATCCTTCACCATGTATTGGCTCTGGAAGCTTTGGGCAGTGTCGTACATGGTACTATCCACGGTTTGATATAAACATTGTTGAGAAGATTATGCCAGATTCAAATGAGACCACGGTTTATAAAGAAGCACTGTATCAGCAAATGTTTTCCCATAGATGTGTGCTTCATGTTTTTGGAATAAACAATACAAGGAAGCCATATTCCTTATTTATGGAGTTTGTTGGAAAGGACCTTCAATCATTGACAATACACAAACTGTTGTATGACAAACAATCCATGGATATTATGGGAAGTATGACAGTGCCAGATTGGTTCAGAGTCTGTTATGACATTGCTAATGCATTACAATACATCCATGAAAAGGGATTCCTCCATTGTGATATCAAAACAAACAATGTTCTTGTGTCCCATCACAAAAATGGGTATTTAATTGACTTTGGGAAGGTGAAACAAATTGCATATGCATCAGGAAAGAAATATGCAAAGGTTTACAATTATATTGCCGCCGAAGTCCTGAATAGTCATCCACCAAGTCCTGCAAGTGATGTGTATTCGTTTGGAATCATTACAAAGGCCATCGGGGAAACCATTGGAGATAACACACTTCTTGAACTTGGACAACAGTCATCATCTGCAATTCCTGCACAAAGGCCAAGCATGATACGACTTCTGTCAGCCTTAAATCCATATACATATACAGGCAACACACTTGATAAAGGACAGAAAAAAAACTAAGATTAATTAACCTATTTACAGGACATACCTACCAACGGCAAGTTAAATTATCTGGCATTAGGCAGAGTAAAATATTAAAGTGGGGTGCATTTGGGCACATTTCCAGCTAATGGGTCATTAATTAACACAAGAAATGGGCAGATAGTTTTGTTGACACATTAACTAACTGGCAGGACCATACTGTACCATTGACGAGTAAAATTGTGAGGCGTTAGAGTGTTAGACAGTAAAATACTAAAGCTGGGCACATTGCCAGCAAATGGGCTACAGTAAGTAACTTAAAATTAATGAATTAAAAGTTTCAAACTAATTCATTAATGGTTGCAACATAATAAAACAAGAATTTCTAAGTTAACAAGATTTCACATTCTAAACACCTCTTGGTAATCAGGTCAAGTTTGCCATAATGATTACTTACAGTGAGCTATATAAGTATAAACCCGTAACTATAAACATTTTTATCTATGTGCAGAGCAAGAACTTCTAAGTTGTCAAGATACAATGTGTCTTTGGGCAACTGATTGTCAAGATATTCTTGTCTTTCGGCAGTCAGTTCAAGCTTTGCAACATGGTAAAAATGCATAATTACGGTAAGCTAGTATAAACTATGAACCCATAACCAACATTTTAATCTATGTGCAGAGTAAGAACTTCTAAGTTGTCAAGATACAGTGTGTCTTTGGGCAACTGATTGTCAAGATATTCTTGTCTTTCGGCAGTCAGTTCAAGCTTTGCAACATGGTAAAAATGCATAATTACGGTAAGCTAGTATAAACTATGAACCCATAACCAACATTTTAATCTATGTGCAGAGTAAGAACTTCTAAGTTGTCAAGATACAGTGTGTCTTTGGGCAACTGATTGTCAAGATATTCTCGTCTTTCGGCAGTCAGTTCATGCTTTGCAACATGGTAAAAATGCATAATTACAGTAAGCTAGTATAAACTATGAACCCATAACCAACATTTTAATCTATGTGCAGAGTAAGAACTTCTAAGTTATCAAGATACAGTGTGTCTTTGGGCAACTGATTGTCAAGATATTCTTGTCTTTCGGCAGTCAGTTCAAGCTTTGCAACATGGTAAAAATGCATAATTACAGTAAGCTAGTATAAACTATAAACCCATAACCAACATTTTAATCTACATAGTCTATGTGCAGAGTAAGAACTTCCAAGTTGTCAACTTGAAGATACAGTGTGTCTTCACATTAATACAGTATATAAATTAATAACCAAAGCCAACAGTTACCAAATAATTGCTTGATCCTGTATATTCGAACAGAACTCTAAGTGTTTTGTAGTAATGTAAATATATTAATACTCTCATCACATTTGTTTGAATAAATATTTTAAACGTTGTGGGGGTTTTTGTCCCCATTTGTGTCGTTTGATGCTTTTTACATTTTGGTGGCAAAAGGGACGTAATGTACATGTGTCAATCTAACAATTTTTATATAAAATATACAAGCAGAAAGGCGAGATTTTATATAGAATCTGAAAGCCAGTCACTACGAAAACCCATGCTTGGGTTTACTACATGCAAATTCACAAATTATTTCGATTTTAGTCTATGACTACAAAATAGAATACTACAAATGCTTACCTTTTTATATATCAAGTGAAGTTTACCTCTTGAAAATCTTTATTCTTAAAGTCAAACCTCGAGTTAAACAATAAATGAATAAAAGCAGTCGTACCCTTTCTGCTCTCTGCACGTAATACAACAACCGCAAAAAAAGTCGCAGAATTGTCGTGCACGCGCGAATTAACCTGGGGCGAGTGGAAAAGTGGAGATATGCATTAATCTACTTGAGTGGTACAGCCAAATGAACTCATGATTAAGTGGAAGTCGAACATCAATAAACCTTAATCACTAGATATGTTCATGGATTTTGGGCAAATACGAGTCAAGTCTTTTATGGCTTCAGGGGTTCTTGAAAACACAAGGTCTAGGATATTATCTCCACGTGTAGAATGAGTGTTAGTTTGTTCCAAAAAGAAGTCTAAAGTTAGTTCACGAAATTCCACAGAGTTAGCTGAAACAGGTCTTCAGGCTACGAGAGTGGAGTTCCAAGTCAGTTCAGGGAAGTTAAAATCACCAGTTATAAGAATCAGATCATAATTTTGGGTGTCTTGTAAGAATTCAGTAGACATTTGAAACCAAGATTCGGTTTTATACTTCTGAGATCGATAACAGACACATAAAAGAGCTTTTTTACTATTTTGTTCAACTGGATTTCGATTGCAACAATTTCTAGAAGATCATGCCAGTTTCGTTTAGGCATTTTGATGGCGTGCTGTAAGGAGCTCTGTGATGAGCTCTCTGATAAAACCGATATCTTTCTGAATTTATCGACAGCGAGTTTGATTGATTTTTTCGGCCAAAAGAAAAACAAATTAACATGGAGTGGAACCCTGAATGACTTAAAAATGTTTGTGTCAACAATAATCGATGAAAAAGCCGCAGAAAGCGCCGTCTGGCGATCACCAAGCGGCGGTAAGTGGTGTTTCACCTGCGAAGATCTCGAGATTACGTGGCACTCGAAGAGTGGAGCAATAATTTTTGACGGAGTCAAAGCGGGAAATTTGGTAAAGCGAATAAAAGATATCCTCTCAAAGCCAGACGACGCGGTGAAGACTATCAATAGCGATCTTAACATGGAAGCGAATACTGATCGAGGTTCGTCACGCATCATTGAAAACGAGGTATCTAGTCATAACAGTACTTGCTCTGTAGTTATAGAGGGTATAAAACTCGAGATGGTAATTTTGGAAATCCGGCTACTCAATACCATAAAGGAGAATAAGTCAGACATTTGCTGGCTTAAATTTAAAGTCAAAGATCTAGAAGGTGTCATCCGACATCAGGATGACGCAATTCTCAAGTTCTCAGAAGATAATTTAATTTTAAAATCTAAATTATCCTCTTTTAATTAAAAACTTAACTTATAAAGTAATCTGCCATGACCATGTGAATAATGAACGTGCTAATGAGTCTGCCAGTACAACCCAGGTTAATGACCAATGTGGATTCCACGACAAAGACCAACTGACTAATTTGAATGCCAACAATTCGAGGTTTATTGAAACTTCATCCAAGGAAAACCCCTCATTGTACACAAGTTCCGGATCCCCACGAAAAGCAGCGCTTGACAATAGATCTAGCTACCCAGCGGAAAGAACGGATTAACATAATGACTAATGTAGTTAATGACCAATGTGGATCCCAAGATAAAAACCAACCCACTAATCTGAGTATTAACAATCCAAGTTTTAATGAAATTTCAACTAATGAAAACCGCTCATTGCTCAATAGTACACAAGTTCCGGATTCTCATGACAATCAGCGCGTGACAATAGACCTAACTACCAAACCGAAAGAAGGGGTTAACATAATATACAATTCACAACCTGACAACGAGAATAACTTGGGCAATAATCGACACCCTCGTGCAAAGCACAACACCCCCTGCCCATTCCTTAGGTGCCGAGGGTGGTGCGCAAAAGGAAACCGATGTGATTTCAAACATCCGCATGAAGAACAGAAACATTTGGTGCCCTGTCCTTTCCTACAAAAGCTACGCCACTGCCTTAAGGGCACTAGGTGCGATTTTTCTCATAGCGCCACTTTTCCTCATAGCATACAGCCAATAAGGCCTATCAAAAACTATACTACTCCTCCGCTTTTTTACGACAATCGACAGCCTATGGTCCCACAACAAAGAAAACACTGGTCCGGTTACAATCAAAGCGTTGAATGGCACCCCAATGGACCGGGCTTTTTCAATCTCCCCCGAAACCGCTAATGGAAACCCCTTTATGCCCTCCCTATACCTTCCAAGTTCCCCCCTATTGCAGGGCATGGTATGCAGAAACACTGGTGTAATCCCTGTCGTTAGCGCTAATACTCACAAGATCCCTGTGAGAATTACTAACAACCGTGCAAAAACCGTCGTCAACCACATTAATAATCATAGACAACTGAAATTAGTCAGTACTTCAATACTAGCCTGCATGGCAGGCGGTCTAAAATACCGCCTGCTGGGTTTGGCAGTGTAATTTGATAACCGCCCACTTTTTTGTCCGAGTCTAATTAGCCAATCAGCAAACACTAAATATATTTATAATCAAACTGTCAAACTATGTTGCTGTTTGGTCGCAAAATTGCAAATGTATAAAAATATGTCGATAAGAGGTAGAAAAGCAAGCGCGGAAAATGTAAATGACTTGTCGTTTGTTTAAGTGTGCTTTGAAACTAAAATATGGGGCAATACGCCAATAGAGAAAATATCTTATATTCTTATATATCGTTGGAGAAATTATTTATTTAAGGCAAGCAAAAGAAACGTTACGCTAGTGGTAAAACCTTGGCCGAAATAAGCCGAATTGCCGGTTCAGTTCATTTAGGAATCGAAGTTAATTCTACCTCGGAACTATCCGACCAAGTTTGTAAACCGTGTGAGCGAAATATCCGAGTGCAAGCGAACTGATTTCCATAATCAAACGAGACATGCTTGTGTACGTTCGAACAAATAGACAGTTGTATATTAAAAACCTGAGTTGCCAATATGAACTGTCTCGTCTCCCTAACGAAACCGTGTGGTAACGAAAGCCTTAAAAAGTTCAGAAAGTGAAGCGGCTATTAATAGGCATTGGCGTAATAGTCCTGTTATAAAACCCGTTGCAAGAAAGACTATACGGCCGTCTGCAGTATCTATTCTCGTTATATTTTCTCGCGCCAACAAGAACGATGTAAAAATCAAGCTTTTCCCATAGAATGGCCAAAATATTTTTTCCAAGGAATAAATCCTTAACTGCTATCTCTTGCTCGTGTTTGACAATCAGTTCGCGTTTCGACTTTCGAGAAGCGTTCAGTTTTACAACACCTATTAATTAAAGCGAACGCATGCATCATTAAAGTGTCAAACGTATGTTTACATATTAAAGTGTATTCACTTTTGAGTGACAGCGGCTCAGACTCGCAGCCAATCATCAATTCCCGTCCACTGGTGGACGGGGAATTCGATTACACTGCCAAACCCAGCAGGCGGTATTTCCCAGGCTTGCCCAATTTTAGGAACCGCCTGCCATGCAGGCTACTTCAATACAAGACCAGGCCATGAACCGAAACAACATATCAAGATTACCGAGTTTTTTTCTCATAAATGCTCGCTCACTGTTACCCAAAATAGACGAGCTATCCCTCTTACTATCAGCACATCCTATAGAGTTTATTGCCGTAACTGAAACGTGGCTCAACGATACTGTTCCTGAGCAACTAATTTACATAAATAATTACAACATTTTTCGCAATGATAGATCTTACAGCCGTGGTGGGGGTGTCTGCGCTTTCATCTCGACAAATATCCCAGCTAAAAGAAGAATGGACCTTGAAAACCCCTCTCATGAATGCTTTTGGTTATGGCTGCGACCCCACCGCCTCCCAAGACACCAAACTGGATTAATCTGCTGTGTCCTATATAACCCGCCTGATACACCAGTCAATGAGAAAAAGGAATTAACGGCCTATCTTATCGATCAGATTGACCGAGTTAGATGTACCCACCCCGACTGCGGTGTTGTCTTACTCGGTGATTTCAACAATTTAGATATCAGCGATCTCCTGTGCCATCACAATCTTACGCAAATAGTGGACACCCCAACGCGTGAAGGTAACATCTTGGATCTAATTGTTACTAATCTAGAAGCCTTGTATTCTAAGCCTGTGATTATAGCACCGCTCGGCTCATCAGATCACAACATTGTTAAATGGTCCGCGAAAACTAACGTTTTAAGAACAGATAATAAAACAATTAAGAAAAACATACGTTCCTTCCCCATGTCGGCACGTGCAGCTTTTGGAAGATGGTGCTGCTCACGTGAGTGGTTCTCTGATGCCGAAAGCAAAAACTCTGCGACCGCTCTAGCGTCCTCCTTCGCCAACGAGTTAAATTCTGCTGTTGATAGGTTATTCCCGTCCAAGGTTATTAGAATTCATAACTCTGACAAACCATGGATGACGCCTGCATTAAAAAAACTGATTTAACAAAAGCAAAAAGTCTTTCATTCTGGTAACCTTGACCTCTGGCGTCACTACAGACTTAAAGTCCGAAACGACATAGGAGTGAAAAAGCGTGCATATTATACGAACAAGTTACAACACCTAAAATCCAGTAACTCAAAAAATGGTGGGACTGTGTTAACCAGATGTCCGGGAAAAAAAGATCTGCAACCAATAACATCAAGATCGTTAAGAATGGTACCACTCTATCTGGTAAAGATCTCGCCCAATCACTTAACACCTATTTCTTAAGCGTGAGTAATGACCTATCACCATTGAATCCTCTCCTGCTACCTGCCTATCTCCCTGCACCTAGGCCTGTACCAAAAATTTTCCCCGACGAAGTTTGCACTAAGATGCTCAATGCAAAAGTTTTCAAATCCAGCGGTCCTGACAATATTCCTAACCGGATTATTAAGGATTTCCCGTACGAATTGGCCGAACCTGTATGTCACATCTTTAATACATCTCTGTCCACTGGTGAATTCCCTAACATATGGAAAGATGCGTTAATTACACCAATTCCTAATGCGCCATCCGTATCCTGTGAGGAGGAGTTGCGCCCAATCTCCCTTACAATTTGGTTGCCTTAAAGGAACCTCTACAACGTTTTGCTTGATCGATATGATCAACAATTGGCTAAGAACATTGGATGATAAATCGAGCTATCTGCGGATCGTTTTCCTCGACTTTAGTAAAGCCTTCGATCGCATCGACCATAATATCCTGGTCCCAAAGTTGCTGGCCCTTGGCGTCAGATTGTCGTTTATCCCATGGATATGCAGCTTTCTCTCAAATTGCCGTCAATCGGTAAAGATCGACAATTTCCAATCTGATTGGGGCATCAATAACGCAGGTGTCCCTCAAGGAACTAAGTTGGGCCCTATTTTATTCATAATTATGATCAATGATCTTGAACTGGCATCCTCTAGCACTGACCATTGGAAATACGTGGATGACGTAACAATATCGGAGTCCTTAAAGAAAAATGAAGTTTCAGTCCTACAGTCTGATCTTAACACAATTGAAAGATGGATTGTTAATAACAACATGAAATTGAACGGAAAGAAATGCAAAGAAATGATAGTGAGTTTCGTCCGTAGCGAGAATGACATCCCCCGACTCCTCATTGATGGTTTGCCTCTAGACTTAGTTCCTTCATTCAAAATTTTGGGCTTAACCATGAACAATAAATTGAAATGGCAAGATAACACTGAAG